CTGGCCAGGCGCGGTGGCTCACACCTGTAATCCCAGCAGTTTGGGAGGCCAAGGCGGGTGGATCACGAGGTCAGGAGTTCAAGACTTGCCTGACCAACATGGAGAAACCCCGTCTCTACTAAAGATACAAAAATAAAAAATTAGCCGGGAGTGGTGGCATGTGCCTGTAATCCCAGCTATTCAGGAGGCTGAGGCAGGAGAATGGCTTGAACCCAGGAGGCGGAGGTTGTAGTGAGCCACCATGGCACCACTGCATGCCAGCCTGGGCAACAGAGTGAGACTCCATCTCAAAAAAACAAGACAGCAACAGAAAGGGAAACCCTCCCCTATCTGCTTGCACAAATGCAAGATTTCCATGCGGGCAGCTGTCCTCAAACTTTTGGCCTTTGCGTCCCACAAGAATATTTAACACTTTATGTTTAAACAAACCACAGAACTGCAGACTTCAATGTCCTCTTGTGGAGGCAGAATCTCCTTCAGGATGGGACAGTGCACTTAGCAGTCATGTCTCTGTGGCCGCAAAGCCTGCTTCTCATTTATGCCACAAGAAACGCTGCCAGCGCAGCGGCTGTGTGGGCTTCAGCAAATTGTTTTCACACTGTGGGCCTCAGGCCCCTCTTCTATAAGATGAAAAAACAGCATTGTTTGGGAATATCTGATAAGATACGGACATGAAAAGGCCCTATGAACAAAGGGCCTGTGTGCTCTCGGTGTTCCTGGGAGTGGGCGTTTGCCGAGTGTGTGTCACCTACAAGCTGGTCAAGGAAGGAAGATGCCTTCCCTCCTAACGTTCAGAAGGGAACGAAGCCCTGTTTCCTCCTGGAATACAGAACTTCATCCCTGCACCCACAAGACCCCAGAGATTCTCGACACGTTCATGTACGACCTGGGGATCATAAAACGTTCGGGAAAACCCCCGGGACTGACTTGGAGTTGTTTCAGATTCACTGTCTCTTCCTCCCGTCCCCAGCCCTGCCCATTGGTTGAGGCGTAATTGACCAGAAACTGCATACGTGGAAGGTGCACAACGTGATGATTTGCGATATGCACGAATTAACACCGTCGCCTCACGTCGGTCCCGTCCCTTCACTCACTCGTCTTGTCACCATCTGTCTAAGCACATGGATACGTACCTCCTTTCTTGTGGTGAGAACACGTAAGATCTACTCTCCTGGCATGTTTTAAACAAACAGTGTAGTCTGATTAACTAGACACTGCGCTGTACTTTAAATCCCTAGAACTTAACGAATATTACAACTGAAGTTTTGTACCCTTTGAACAGTGTCTCCCCATTGCCTCAAAACACGACAGACCTGCCGTGTGGCCCAGCAATCCCACTGCTGGGTATAAACCCAGAGGAAGTCGGCACGCCCGAGGGGCGCCTGCGCTCCCTTGTTGGCTTCAGTACTGTTCGCCGTAGCCGAGACGTAGAGTCCCCGAGTGACCAGCCATGAATGGGAGAAGGGATGTGATGTGTGTACACAGTACAGTGCTGTCAGCCAGGACAGGGAATGAGATCCTGTTGTTGGCAGCAGCACGGACAGGCGGGAAGTAAGCCAGGCACAGAGACAACACTGCGTGAGCTGCCTCATACGGAGTCCGGAAAAGCTGAGCTTGGAGCGGAGAGAGTAGTAGGAAGGTTCCCAGGAGCTGGGGTGTGCTGGGGGATGGTGGTTGACGGGGATGGAATTGGTTTCACATGAACTCTCCTGGAGGGAAGCTTTGGTGCCAGGTTGCTGGCCAGAGTGGGGCAGGTGGTCGTGGCATAGGTCTCTCTGAAGCACGGGGCCTCTCCAGACCAACAAACAGACCACTCTTGGCTCAAGGGAACCGGATAAGCAACGGGAGACCTGACTCCTCCCTACGAAGAACCACGAGGAAGGACGTGAGGCTGAGCAATGGGGTGCAGGGAACGGGTGAATCTTCAGAGGCATCCTGTTAGCTGAGACATGGAACCATCTCATGAGGGAGGGAGGTGCCCGCCAGAGGGCACAGAGAAAGGAAGACGGAGAAAAGGGAGAAGGCTGAGCTGTGGGGGAGGGGGCTCACAGTAGGAGGGGAAGACAGAGGAAGAGGTGGAGGCTGAGTTCTGGGGGAGGGAGATGGGGGGGTGGGGAGGACGGAGGAGGACGAGGCTGAGCTGTTGGGGAGAGAGAGTCACAGCACAGAGTGAGGGAGAGGAGGGTTTGCTGAGTTCATGGTGATTGGACAGGACCCCTGTGTCAAACCCCAAACCCAGGGGCTGCTTCTCTAGTAGAAACGGACCCATCCAGGCTTGTTCTGTGCTGTGGGGCCACACCGTGGCTTCTCGCCAACCCTGCAGGATGGCTTCAGTCCTGGTATATATGGGGTCCCTCTGCACTGGGCTTGGTCTATAGTTGGTGGGCAGCCGGGGCAGCAGGTGCAGGTCCAAGGCCTCTGGGCCCGCCATGCCCCTACGCCTTGGGAGGTGGCTGTGAGAACACCCCCCTTGCTTAAACTGCACCCAGGATGCCAGCCCACAAGCTGTGAAAGCCCCTGGGAGGAGGGCTCGTGGTGGGGAATCCTGGTGGAAGCTGGCAACTCCAGGGACATGGTGACATGTGCTTTCCTCAGGAAACTCTGTTCCCCTCCACCTGTACCCCTTTGAACAGACAGCAGCTCCATGAGGGTTCTCTGCAGTGGATTCCAGCCGGGAAAAGACAAGGTCCACGGCCAGCCATGGCATCCTGTGGCCTCCCATGGTGTAAAGGACAAACCGGGCACAGTGCCTCCCGACAGCAGGCGTCCCACGAAGTGGTGTTGGAGGCAGAAAATCCATCCCAGGGCTGACCGTGGTGTCTGGAGACGCATCAGGGAGGCAGCAGTGAGGAAGGCAGGCCAGGAGGGCCGTCGGCTACTGGTGGCTGTGGGGGCGTCGCTTCTCCCAGGAGGACCTGCAAGGGGCTCGCCCACATGGACATTCTTTCTGCACTCTCCACTGCCCTGTCCTGAGGGGGTGGGGTGTGTGTGAGCACACGTGCCATGAAGACACACACGGGCATGCATACACACTTCTGCTTGGCTGGGGCAGCTCAGGGCCAAGCTCCTGGGGTGACGCTGTGGGCTCGCCTTCCAGCCTTTCCCTCCTCCCTGGTGCTGTGGTCTGAATGCCTGTCCCTGAGATTCACACGCTGAAATGCTCACCAGCAAGGTGACAGGATGAGAAGGCGGAGCTTCTGGAGGTGAGTGAGCAGGAGATGAGGCTGCTAAGGCTGCAGGATGGCATGACCATCACCCCAGAGACCCCTTGCTCTCTTTCTGAGTGAGGACACATGAGACATTGGCCGTGGCCAGGAAGAGCCTGGGGTGCCCTGTGAGGACACAGAGGCTGGGCACCGGATCAGGGACGGGGCAAAGCCTGGAGGCACAAAGCAGGTTCCCAGCACCCCTGTCTTCCTCACCCTCCCTCCTGCCACAGCCTGAGCTGTCCTCCTGGGTCCAGCTCCAGACCCTGCCTGGCTGGCCCCTTCTTTGGCTCCCTGGTGCTGACAGACAGGACTCTGTTGGCAGCACACCTCAGGCCAGGTGCCCCCAGGTGCAGGTGCAGGGCCCCGCCTCACATGCCGCCCTGGCTCCCTCCTCCCTCCATGTTGGAGAGCCTTGGCTCCTTCATCCCCATCCAGTTCGAGTGCTTCCGGACCTGGGTGCTCCTTGGAAAGGCACAGAGCTCTCAGTGGCAGCCCTCTCTGGCTGCTCCTCCCAGGTGGGGCCTGCCCAGTGCCCGGTCCACACTGCTTTGTGGCCAGGGCCGTGGGGACAGGGCCAGCCCCTCTGGGGTATGAAGCAGGGTGCCGTCAGCAGCCTTCCCCAGGGCTGATTCCTCCACCCAGGCAAGCTGGGTTCTCATAGGAACCCACGTGCTCCCACATAAGGGCGCCTTTGAGACCCAGCTGAGGGCTCCAGGAGGGCCCCGCCAGCCTCCTGTCAAAGGCCTGGGCCTGGCCACACATGGTGCCCCAGGCTCCTGCTCTCCTCCCTTCACCGCTGGCCCAAGGGAGGGTGCAAGTCCTCCTACAGAGTCAGGGTGGTCCTGGGTCTCCTCTTGGGGCAGGACCATGGCTGCCTCAGGATCCATCCTGGGCTCCCCTTGGGGTGGTCCCTTGTCCTGCTCAGAGCCATCCTGGGTCCCCCAGGCTCCTTCCTGCCCCATACTTCAGGATGCTGGTTTGAGGAGGCGCCAGGCCAGTTGTGGCCGCTAGCCTCCATCACTGCTGAGGACACAAGATCCCTTGTCCCTGGCTGTGGCCCTCGGCCTCCATCACTGCTGGGGACACATGGTCCCCTGTCCCTGGCTGTGGCCCTCGGCCTCTATCACTGCTGGGGACACATGGTCCCCCGTCCCTGGCTGTGGCCCCCAGCCTCCGTCACTGCTGAGGACACATGGTCCCCCGTCCCTTGCTTGGCCCCCACCTCCGTCACTGCTGGGGACACATGGTCCCCCCATCCCTGGCTGTGGCCACCACCTCCATTACTGCTGAGGACACATGGTCCCCCCGTCCCTGGCTGTGGCCACCACCTCCATCACTGCTGAGGACACATGGTCCCCCGTCCCTGGCTGTGGCCCCGACCTCCATCACTGCTGGGGACACATGGTCCCCCGTCCCTGGCTGTGGCCCCCACCTCCATCACTGCTGGGGACACATGGTCCCCCGTCCCTGGCTGTGGCCACCACCTCCATCACTGCTGGGGACACATGGTCCCCCGTCCCTGGCTGTGGCTCCTACCTCCATCACTGCTGGGGACACATGGTCCCCCGTCCCTGGCTGTGGCCCCCACCTCCATCACTGCTGGGGACACAGGATCCCTTGTCCCTGGCTGTAGCCCTGAGCATCTGCCCTTTGCCTCCCGCATGGCCGAGGGTGAAACTGAATCCGGGACAAAGACACCCGGGCTATTTTGGAGCTGGGCTGGGCTGGCCTGGCCAGTGCAGGGGGTGGGGTGGGGGCGGGCCCAGCCTTCTCCAGCTGACAGCGTCTGCCTGTCCTTTCGTCCCCATCCAGTTTGAGGAGCGGCCGGAGTGTGGGCTGCTGGTGGCAGCCTGCTGGTCCTGGGTCCTCGGAGGGAGGTGAGACCCGGCAGCCCCCGCCCCGCACCGGCCTGTACCTCCGGCCTGTGTGCTGCCCAGAGCCCCCATAGAGAGAGGTGAGGAGACAGAGCCTGACAGGGTAGGGGCCTTTCTGTGCCCTGGAGGGTGGCTTGGCTGAAGGTCACGTCTGGGGAGTGGGGGAGCCTTCAGGGTCTGGCCGAGATGCCGCTCCCTGTGGTGGGGCTGGGGTTCCAGCCCCTGCTTCCTCCGAGCCTGGAGCTGGGCCCTCACATGGGATGGAGCCGCCTGGCCAGCCTGGGGCTGCAGGGTGGACAGGGTGGTGTTCTGCACCCACCCAGCCTCCACCCAGGAGTTGACCCTCGCTCAGAGAGCGGCCAGGGGGTCTGGCTGGCCCTGCCCCCAGCGCTGCTGAGATAGATGCCCGCTGACAGCTGGGGCTATTTTGGGCCTGTTGCCTCAGCAGAGGGGACAGCCAGAGGGGCGCTGACACCTGACTCCAGGAAAGAATTTTCCCGGAGCGCTTGAAGCCTCCGGTGGGGTCTAAGGTGAGGTGCAGCCCTGGGGCGCTGCCCTTGGAAGTCCGTGCTGGAAGGGCGAGGGGGCAAGGGCTGCCCAGGTTGCCTGTCGGTGTGGGGGTGGGGAGCCGCCTCCCACTCTGAGCTCTTTCTGAGGATGGTCTTGGGGCCCCTGGAGGACAAGGGTGGCAAAGTTCCTCAACAGTCAGGGTGAAGGGCTGCTGAGGGGCGGGTGGCTGTGGCGGGGCCTGTAACCGGAGCACGGGCTGGTCCCACAGGGCTGGAGGGGGGCCTCCGAGGGGCCGAGGAGCCCAACTGGTCCATGGTGGGGAAAAGGCTTTCCTGGGAGGCTGAGGGCTGAGGTCTTCCCCTCCTGGGGAAGCTCACAGGTTGTCCAGACTCAAAATGTGGCAGAGAAAAAAGACGGCCTCTGTGGATGTCCCAGTGCCCGATGAGTTTCCTGGGAGCCCCAGGGGTGGCCGTGGTGGCCTCCTTCCCGCTCAGCCTGATTCCTCATCTGTGACATGGGTTGTCAGGGAAGAGGGTAGCTCCCGAACTCTTGCATGGCGAGCCCCTCTCTGGCCTCAGGCCTGCTGACTGGTAGGGATGCCTCCTGACCGGGCTGCCATGAGCCCCCCAGACCCTGCAGTTGGCCTCCTGGGCCTGCACCAGGTGACAGAATGCAGGCCCCAGAGCCATGGTGCCATCCCACGAGGACCTCAGTGTCTCTACCCGCTTTCCCCAGGCCAGGGTGAGCCTGTGTGCCCCTGTCCCTTCAGCATGGATGGTAATGGGAGCTCCCTGACTGTCCTGGTCCCCAGGCCAGGATGAGCCTGTGTGTCCCTGTCCCTCCAGCATGGGCAGTAACGGGAGCTCCGTGACTGTCCTGGTCCAAAGAGGCTGCTCACACACACCACCTCATCTGTTGTTCCACTGTGACCCTGGCAGGGCCAGGTGGGGCACTGGGTGTGGAAGAGGCTGGGGTACAGGACACCCTGTTCTGCTTCTGGGGAACCCACAGAAGCAGAAAAAAATCATATGATTTTTTTTCTTTTTTTTGAGATGGAGTCTCGCTCTGTCACCCAGTCAGGAGTGCAGTGGCACGATCTCAGCTCACCGAAACCTCTGCCTCCGCCTCCCAGGTTCAAGCAGTTCTTCTACCTCAGTCTCCCCAGTAGCTGGGACTACAGGCGTGCACCACCACGCCTGGCTAATCTTTTGTATTTTTAGTAGAGACGGGGTTTCACCATGTTAGCCAGGATGGTCTCAATCTCCTGACCTTGTGATCAGCCTGCCTCAGCCTCCCAAAGTGCTGGGATTACAGCTGTGAGCCACCTCACCCAGCCTTTTTTTTTTTTTTTAAAAGAGACTGGGCTTTGCTCTGTTGCCCAGGATGGAGTACAGTGGCATAATCCTAGCTCACTGCAGCTTGACCTCCTGGGTTCAAGCAATCCTCCCACCTCAGCCTCTTGAGTAGCTGGGACAGCAGGGACCTGCCACCACTTCCAGTTAATTAAAAAAATTTTTTTTTTTTTTTTTTGTAGAGATGGAGTCTCACATGTTGCCCAGGCTGGCCTGGAACTCCTGGGCTCAAGGGATCCTCCTGCCTCTGCCTCCCATAGTGCTGGGATTACAGGTGCTTGCCACCACACCTGGCCTGACTGTATGACTTTGGAGAGTGCTGGGGACAGCCCAGAGCTCGTGGGCCCTGGATAGCTTGAGTCCTGGGAGGTGCCCATGGAGGCAAATCCCCAGAAAGGGCAAAACTCGGACCCTGGTGCCTGCTGTGGGCGGGCCCCTGCCCAGGTCCTCCCCAGCCCCGGAGCCCTGCTGTGGGTGGGGGGGTGGCCTGCAGCAGAGGTGCTGACTGCACAGTGAGTCAGCAGACTGGTACCCGCAGCCCAGCCCTGCTCCAGCCTCAGCAGCCCAAAGGGATTAAAAGGATTAACTACCTGAATCACAGGACCAGGAGGAGGGCCTGGGAACGACGCCCTGGCTCAGCCCACAGTGGGCAGCCCAGGCCCAGAAGCTGGAGGCTCTGGCCTGAGGGAGGGTGCAGGCAAGGTGCCCTGGTGGGGCCGTCTCCCACCCCAGGCCAGCCCAGTGCCAGGGGGCCCACTCCCACTCCAGGCCAGCCCAGTGCCGGGGGGGACCCACTCCCACCCCAGGCCAGCCCAGTGCCGGGGGGCCCACTTCCACCCCAGGCCAGCCCAGTGCCGGGGGGCCCACTCCCACCCCAGGCCAGCCTAGTGCTGGGGGGCCCACTCCCACTCCCTGTTCCTACAGAGGAGCTACACAGGCAGGCTAGTGTCACCCACACCATCTACATGGGGGACCTGCACTGGGGGTGGCTGGCCTGCTGGGTCTCTACCTGGGTTGCTCAAAGGCATCACCTGGGACCTTTGGCACTGAGGTGCACCCTCAACCCTGCAGCACGTCCAGCTGGCCAGTGTGGCTGAGAACTGCGGGGTCACCAGGATGGGCGCAGCTGGCCCAGCCCAGCTGGTCTCAGCTTGGAGGTCTCCTGCCCTTCCAGGGGGATGTCACTGACCTTGCCAGCTCCAGACTCTGGGGATACCCCAGCTATGCTCCCCAGCCAGATCCCTGACTGTGGGCTGCCCACGCATCTCCATCCAACCTGGGGCTCAGTGGAGGGGTCTAGGAGCAAGCAGCTGATGGGTTTCTGGTCCTTCCCCCTCATAGATGGTGTGCCCCCAGGGTGGGGGAGGGAGATGTGTGACCCTGCAGAAGAGGTGAGGCCCCTCTGTGGGCAGACTGGCCCCTCAGTGCAGCCTGGAGGCGCTGCTGAAGGAGTTGCTGAAGGAGTTGCCTGGGTTGGGGGGAAGATGAGGGAGTAAGGGCAGTGCCCAGAGCAGAGAATGTAGCTCACCTAGAAAAGGCTCAGAGGGCAGCCTGCCAGGGTGGAGAACCCATGACCGTGTTGTGCCATGGGGCAAGGGACCAGTGCCCACGATGGGCCTCCTGCGCCCAGGCCTGGTGGGGCTCAGCAAGCAACCCTTCTTGTTGCGGAGGGCACACACAGGCCAGCTGAAGTTTTAGGCCTGGGGAGGGAACAGTGTGTGGAGCAGGACAAAGGACTCCCGCCCCTGCAGGTAGAGAGTGGCTCACAGGGTACTAGCAGGTCTGTGTGCCCCAGGGAGCTGCAGCAAAGCTTGTAGGCTGGGAGGAACCGAAAATACCTGCCTGCTTGCTGCGGGGTGTAGGTTCAGGACATGTGCTCCAGTGACTGCAGCTGGGGCAGCAGGTGTCAGTGGGGAGAGGGAAGGAAATGTTCTCAGCTGCTAGAAAAGCCATTTGCAGGTGAGGGTACCAAATCCCAAATGCCCAGAAAGGAGCAAATCTGCGCTCCTGGGCCACGGTGCCAACCAGTGATGCTTCCTCAGGGCGCGGGGTAGGGTGTGTGGAGGTGTTGAACTGGGTTCTCCTGGCGGCATGGTGGGGTGCATCCGGGCCTCATTCCCGCCACCCCTAAGGCCATCCCCACCTCCTCGCAGGTCCCTGCCGCCACCCTCATGGATCAGCCCCAGTTCAGCGGGGCGCCCCGCTTTCTCACCCGGCCGAAGGCCTTTGTGGTGTCGGTGGGCAAGGATGCCACGCTCAGCTGCCAGATCGTGGGTAACCCCACGCCACAGGTGAGCTGGGAGAAGGATCAGCAGCCGGTGGCGGCGGGCGCACGCTTCCGCCTGGCCCAGGATGGCGACCTGTACCGCCTCACTATCCTGGACCTGGCGCTGGGCGATAGTGGGCAGTACGTGTGCCGCGCGCGCAATGCCATAGGGGAGGCCTTCGCGGCCGTGGGCCTGCAGGTGGACGCGGAGGCCGCGTGCGCAGAGCAGGCACCGCATTTCCTGCTGCGGCCCACGTCCATCCGCGTGCGCGAGGGCTCCGAGGCCACGTTCCGCTGCCGCGTGGGTGGCTCCCCGAAGCCGGCGGTGAGCTGGTCCAAGGACGGGCGGCGCTTGGGTGAGCCCGACGGCCCCCGCGTGCGCGTGGAGGAGCTCGGCGAGGCGAGTTCACTGCGCATTCGTGCTGCGCGGCCGCGCGACGGCGGCACTTACGAGGTCCGCGCGGAGAACCCGCTGGGCTCCGCCAGCGCCGCAGCTGCGCTCGTGGTGGACTCGGATGCCGCGGACACAGCCAGCCCGCCGGGGACCTCCACGGCCGCGCTCCTGGCGCACCTGCAGCGGCGGCGCGAAGCCATGCGTGCCGAGGGCTCCCCCGCCTCTCCGCCCTGCACCGGCACGCGCACCTGCACGGTGACCGAAGGCAAGCACGCGCGCCTCAGCTGCTACGTGACCGGCGAGCCCAAGCCCGAGACGGTGTGGAAGAAGGACGGGCAGCTGGTGACCGAGGGCCGGCGCCACGTGGTGTACGAGGACGCTCAGGAGAACTTCGTGCTCAAGATCCTCTTCTGCAAGCAGTCAGACCGCGGCCTCTACACCTGCACGGCGTCCAATCTTGTGGGGCAGACCTACAGCTCCGTGCTGGTCGTAGTGCGCGGTGAGCTCCCGGGTGCGGGCGCGCGGGCTCAGTACCCTCCGCAACCCCTGCTCCTGTGTCCTTTCGCCCTTGCGGCCGCTGCCGTTTCCCGCTCGCGTCTGTCGGGTCGTAGAATCCAGAGTTGCAGGTGTCCGTTCCTGGTGCACAAATTGCGGGCGACGACCCTCGGCCTGTCCGAATGAGCCGCAACCCACTTTCTCCATCCAGTCCCCGGCCCGCCCCGCCCCCCACCCCACCAGTCGCTCACACACAGAGGGGAGAGGTGTGAGAGTGGCGGGGCCACAGGAGATCCCACCTCCTCAGTCCCGCCCTCTCCCTCGCGATGTTCCCGCCCCAACCTCCGCCACTCAGCCCTCTACTCTTCTACTCCCCCGCCCCTAACCTCCCGTCTCCTTCTAAGCGCCCTTCCCACCCCCAGCCCCTTGGCCTCCTGCTCGCTCCTCTCCCCACCCGACTCCTCTACCCTGCACCCTCCCCTTTCCAGATTCCCGCGCCTCTGCTCCGTCCCCTACTCCTTCGCACACCCTCACCTCTGCCAGCTCCAGGCTCCTCTCTCCGCCCCCACCCCGCCTGCGCCCCCCACCCCACCCCCGCACCCTCCGGCCCCGCCCTCTCAAACAGTCTCCGCTCCTCTGGGCAGAGCCCGCGGTTCCCTTTAAGAAGCGGCTGCAGGATCTGGAGGTGCGGGAGAAGGAGTCGGCCACGTTCCTGTGCGAGGTGCCCCAGCCGTCCACCGAGGCTGCGTGGTTCAAGGAGGAGACGCGGCTGTGGGCGAGCGCTAAGTACGGCATCGAGGAGGAGGGCACCGAGCGCCGGCTGACCGTGCGCAACGTGTCGGCCGACGACGACGCGGTGTACATCTGCGAGACGCCGGAGGGCAGCCGCACCGTGGCGGAGCTCGCCGTCCAAGGCAGGCGGGGGGCGCGGGGGTGCTTTCGGGGAGGCGGGGGGGCGAGGAGGCGTGGAGGAGGAAAGAGAGCCTGGCCGACTGGACAGGCTGGGTCCGGGGCTGGCGGGGGAGGGGGGGGCGAGTTTGGACCAGGGGAGGCACGGGCGGGACTGGGGCGGGCAGAGCAGGTAAGGTGGGGGCGAGGAGCAAGGTGGTGGGGCTGGGAGCAAGGTGGGGGGCGGGGGAGCAAGCAGGGGGATGGAGGAGCAAGGTGGGGGGCTGAGGAGCAAGGTGGGGGGACGGAGGAGCAAGGTGAGGGTGGAGGAGCAAGGTGGGGGGGCTGGGAGCAAGGTGGGGGGCGGTGGAGCAAGGTGGGGGCGGAGGAGCAAGCGGGGGGTGCGGAGGAGCAAGGTGGGGGCTGGAGGAGCAAGTGGGGGTGGAGGAGCAAGGTGGGGGGGCTGGGAGCAAGGTGGGGGGCGGAGGGGCAAGGTGGGGGGCGGAGGGGCAAGGTGGGGCGGGGCACGGGTGGGATGGCGGGAATGGCGGGAATGGCGGGGCAGTGGGGAGGGGTCTTGCCGGACCGAGCTGGGACTGGGGCGGCCGGACAAGTAAGGGATTTCGCGATGGAGTAAATTGGAGGCAGTTGGGAACCCAGGGATAGGGAGCAGGCGGAGGAGGGAGTCTGAAGCGGGGTGCGCTGGGGCTGTTGTGACAGCACGGCTCCCTCCACCCCAGGAAACCTTCTCCGAAAGCTCCCTCGGAAGACAGCGGTGCGCGTGGGCGACACGGCAATGTTTTGCGTGGAGTTGGCGGTCCCGGTGGGCCCCGTCCGCTGGCTGCGGAACCAGGAGGAGGTGGTGGCCGGGGGCCGCGTGGTCATCTCCGCGGAGGGCACGCGCCACACACTGACTGTCTCCCAGTGCTGCATGGAGGATGTGGGCGAGGTGGCCTTTATGGCTGGCAACTGCCGGACGTCCACTCAGTTCTGCGTGGCGGGTGAGGGCCTGGGGGTGCTCCCAGGACGGCGTCCCTTCCCTGCTGCCTCCGGGTTTCAGTCCCCTGCCCTCCCTTAGCTCAGCTCTCTGGGCTCCAGCTGCTGCACTGAGGGCCTGCGAGGTTGGCCCCCTCCCCCAGCCCTTGCCCTCCAGGTTAGCCGTCCCCCTCCCCTGCGCTCTTGCAGTCTTTCAGCTGCTGCCAGAGAAGTGGCTGCAGTTCTGGGGCTGGAGGTTGTGGCTACTGGTCCAGGTCCCCAGAGCAACCCCAGGAGAGCTGGGGATCCTGTGACTCCCCTCCAGGTGATTCCAGACCCAGGGTTCAGGGGGAGGCTCCCAGTAGGTGACCTTTGCCCACACTCTCCACAGCCCCCAGGAAGCCTCCCCTGCAGCCCCCTGTGGAGCCAGTGGTGAAGGCCAAGACGGAGAGTTCTGTGACCCTCAGCTGGTCCCCACCACCCCAGGGGGAGTGCCCCTTCACCATTGACGGCTACCTGGTGGAGAAGAAGCAGCTTGGCACCTACACCTGGAGCCGGTGCCACGAGGCTGAATGGGTGGCCACACCTGAGCTGATCTTGACGAATGTGGCCGAGGAGGGGGACTTTCAGTTCCGAGTCTCAGCTCTCAACAGCTTTGGACAGAGTCCCTACCTCGAGTTCCCAGGGACCATCCACCTGGGTGAGTGGGGCCTCATGGTTACAACCTCCAGGGCTGCTCACCTGCCCCAGAGTCCCCCAGGTCCAGCTTCAGGGGAGGCCAGAGTGACCTCATGGAGACCTTCTGTGGGGAGAGGGGTTGCCAAGGCTCTGCCCTGGTGTGGCATCCATGGTGGGAAGGAGAGGTGACCCCACCACAGGGCCCTTAGGAGGGGCTGCACCCTCTGGTGGGGCTTGCAGGATGCTGGAGGGGTCTCAGAGTGCCTGTACCTTGTCCTTGTTCCTTTATGAGCCTGACTTGTGCTGTGGTCCTTGTGCATGCTGGCCGGGCTTCCTGGAGGAGGGACATTTGGGTCCAGGCTCTGTAGGAAGGGGAGGGGAAGGCAAAGACACCCTCAGCACTCTGCACTCCTCCCCTGCTCCTTCCTGACACTGCCCACCCCACAGCCCCCCAGCTGGCCGTGAGGACACCGCTGAAGGCAGTGCAGGCGGTGGAGGGTGGCGAGGTCACCTTCTCCGTGGACCTCACGGTGGCCTCAGCGGGTGAGTGGTTCCTGGACGGGCAGGCCCTGAAGGCCAGCAGTGTGTATGAGATCCGCTGTGACTGCACCCGGCACACGCTCACCATCCGGGAGGTGCCGGCCAGCCTGCACGGGGCACAGCTCAAGTTCGTGGCCAACGGCATTGAGAGCAGCATCCGTATGGAGGTCCGGGGTAGGTGGGGGGCCCTGACCTGGGACCCTGAGCCCTGTTTGTCCTGGGTGGGCTGGGCCAGGGCTCCGGGTGGGGCTGCCACAGGTCTAAGGGCCCCAGGACACCCTGTCAGCCTGCAGGTCGCCGGGATGAAGCAGGAGGGCGGTGGGTGTGCGGGGACTCACCTGGGCTGGCTGGTGGCACTGGTCCCTGGTGTCTGGGTGAGGCCTGGGGCTGCAGGGGTCCCGCCGGGCAGAGCCTCATGTCTGCCTTCCTCCTTCCCTCCTGTTCCCCTCCTCCCTTCTCTGCTTCCTTCATCTTTTCCCTTCCGTTTCTTTCCTGCCTCTCTTTGTCCTGTCCCCCCACCCCATCCCATGCCTGGCTGTTCCGCCTCCATCTCCCGGGCTTCTCTGGTGTATTCGTGACCTCTGTTCTGCCACTGTCTCCCCTGGCTGCCTCTCCCCCACCGTCCTCCTGCGTTGCTCTCCTGGCTCCTTCCCTTCCTTTTATCTCTTTCTCTGCCCCATCCGTGTCTTGCCTCCCCTCCCGTCCATTCTCCTCACCCACCTTGCTGTGCCCCTCCATCTGTTCCCCTCTGGCCACGCATGCCCGGCCCCCAGCGGCACCAGGGCTGAGTGCCAACAAGCCACCAGCCGCAGCTGCCCGGGAGGTGCTGGCTCGGCTGCATGAGGAGGCGCAGCTGCTGGCCGAGCTGTCGGACCAGGCTGCGGCCGTGACGTGGCTGAAGGATGGTCGCACGCTGCCCCCAGGCCCCAAGTATGAGGTGCAGGCTTCGGCCGGGCGGCGGGTGCTGCTTGTGCGAGACGTGGCCCAGGACGATGCCGGCCTCTACGAGTGCGTCAGCCGCGGGGGCCGCATCGCCTACCAGCTGTCCGTGCAAGGTAGGGGTGGCTGGCAGGCTCCGCGGGGTTCTCTGACTCTGTGGAGAGGGTGAGGGACTGGGCAGTGGGCGCCAGCCCACTTGGTAGGAGCAGGGACTCCATAGCTGGGTGGTGGCTCCGGTGGGCACCAGTCCCGTGGTTGGAGTCAGCAGGCCGAGCTGGACGCTTGCCCAGCAGGGTCCCTCTGGCCTAGGTGAGCCTGGGTGTCCCGTGTGTGGTCTCAGAAGCCAGAGCAGCTCCAGCCTGTGGGCCCTGTGGCTTCGCTCCCTCTGGGCCTCTGCAGTCCCCGACCTGCCCTGTGTCCCGCAGGCCTCGTGTGCTTTCTGCATAAGGACATGGCGGGCAGCTGTGTGGATGCAGTGGCTGGGGGCCCAGCGCAGTTTGAGTGCGAGACCTCGGAGACCCACGTCCGCGTGCGCTGGTACAAGGATGGCGTGGAGCTGGGTCGCTCCGGTGAGCGCTTCTTGCAGGAAGACGTGGGGACGCGGCACCGGCTGGTGGCAGCCATGGTCACCAGGCAGGATGAGGGCACCTACTCCTGCCGTGCGGGCGAGGACTCTGTGGACTTCCGGCTCCGAGTCTCTGGTGAGCACGCTGTGTGTGCATGCGTCCCAGCCACATGGGGTGGGGAGCAGGTCCGGCTGCACCCAGCACAGCGGGACTGACCTTCCTGGCCCTTCTTCTCTGTAGCAAATGGTTGAGGGTGTCAACTGCAAAAACATCAAGGTTTTAAAAGGATTAGTTCTATTCAGAAGGCTCAATGAGGATTGCAGCGCAGGGGAGTCTTTCAGACTTTTTGCTGAGCTGCTCCAAAGCAGAGTTTCAGCCCACAGCTGATACACAGGCGGTGAAGTCTCTGCAGCTGCCCAGAAGGTACCTCCGAGCCAAAGCTCCTCTCAGCCTGTGTGCAGCTGCAGAGGCACAGCCCCTCCCAGCCCGTGTGCAGCTGCAGAGGCACAGCTCCTCCCAGCCCGTGTGCAGCTGCAGAGGCACAGCTCCTCCCAGCCCGTGTGCAGCTGCAGAGGCACAGCTCCTCCCAGCCCGTGTGCAGCTGCAAAGGCACAGCCCCTCCCAGCCCGTGTGCAGCTGCAGAGGCACAGCCCCTCCCAGCCCGTGTGCAGCTGGCTGCAGAGGCAAAGCCCCTCCCAGCCCGTGTGCAGCTGCGGAGGCACAGCCCCTCCCAGCCCGTGTGCAGCTGGCTGCAGAGGCAAAGCCCCTCCCAGCCTGTGTGCAGCTGCAGAGGCACAGCCCCTCCCAGCCCGTGTGCAACTGGCTGCAGAGGCAAAGCCCCTCCCAGCCCTTGTGCAGCTACAGAGGCAAAGCCCCTCCCAGCCCATGTGCAGCTGCAGAGGTAAAGCCCCTCCCAGACCGTGTACAGCTGCGGAGGCACAGCCCCTCCCAGCTTGTGTGCAGCTGCGGAGGCACAGCCCCTCCCAGCCCGTGTGCAGCTGCGGAGGCACAGCCCCTCCCAGCCTGTGTGCAGCTGCAGAGGCACAGCCCCTCCCAGCCTGTGTGCAGCTGGTTGCAGAGGCACAGCCATGAATGCTGCCAGACATGATCTCCCGTGCAGGGAGAAGAAAGGGCTAGCACCACTGAACTTACGTTTCCTGAAAATGCTGTGCTTTAAGCAAGAGACTGGGCAGCTGCGCTCCGCCCTCCCAGGGCTGTGCCCACTCACCAGGCCAGGCCGGGACCGTGCTCACTCACCGGGCAGGGGCTGGCGGATGCCGCTGGCAGAGCAGGAAGAGCAAACACAGCTTCTTAGGTTGGCTGCCTCGTCACAGAGGATGTTTGCTTCTCTGGGAAAAGAAATGATATGAAGAACTAACGATTACGTGGGTAAAGAATCCAAGTGTAGGAAAAAAACTAAAAAGGAAAAAAAAAGAATCCAAGTGTAGACAATAAGAAAAGATACACGAAGGAGCTTTGGAAGGTGGGCATGGACTCGGTCTCATTTGTGCTTTTGGAGGGTCTTTCCTGCCCGCCCTGGCCTCCCTGACCCTAACCCCGACCTGGGGCTTGCTCACAGCTCTGCGGACACTTGTGTGTTGTGTGTTTGTGGGCCAGGCTCAGGGCTGGGTGCTTCATTTAAAATGTGGCTTTTTTGTTTGTTTATTTTTGAGATGGAGTCTGGTTCTGTTGCCCAGGCAAGAGTGCAGTGGCGCTCCACAACCTCCACCTCCTGGGTTCAAGTGAGTCTCCTGCCTCAGCCTCCCGAGTAGCTAGGACTACAGGCGCACACCACCACGCCCAGCTAATTTTTGCATTTTTAGTAGAGACGGGGTTTCACTATTCTGGCCAGGCTGGTTTTGAACTCCTGACCTTGTGAATCACCTGCCATGGCCCCCCCCCAAAGTGCTGGGATTATAGGAGTGAGCCACTGTATCCGGACTAAAACATGTTTTTATTTTATTTTATTTTATGTTTTTGAGATGGGGCCCTCCCAGGCTGGAGTGCCGTGGTGCCATCTGGGCTCACTGAAGCCTCGACCTCACAGGCTCAGGCGATCCTCCCACCTCAGCCTCCCAAGTAGCTGGAACCACAGGCACGCACTATCAAGCCCAGCTAATTATTGCATATTTTGTAGAGACGAGGTCTTGCTGTGTTGCTGAGGCTTGTCCCAAATTCCTGGGCTCAAGCAATCCTCCTGCCTCAGCCTCCCAAAGTGCTTGGGGCCAGAAATGTTTCTACAGCTCTTCTCTTCCTTTTTAAGTTGAGGGGACTGAGGCTGAGCAGAGCCACAGGCTGGAGTATCTTTGACAGGTTAAGATTGGAACGGAGGTGGCTCTGAGCCCTGGCTCTTTCTGGAACCTCCTGGGCTCAGCAATGTTGCCTGGGAGGCTGGAGGAGGGACACAGGGCTTCTCAGGGAGTGTGGCTGCCAGGCCTCTGTGGGCTGGGTCCCACCCACACCCCACAACAGGGAGGACCCCAAGGCTGGGCTCTGCAAAACTACCCTGCTGGCTTCCAGGGACAAGTGTGTGGGCGTTTCATGGATAAAAGTTTAAAAGTCACCAGTCCAGCCTCCTAACTTTCACAATCCAGTGGCCGATTTGTCCGCAAAGCAGAACACGGCCTGCGCCTGCATTCAGGAGAGCGTCTGTGAAGCTGAACTTTCTGTCCGTCTCGGCCCACGTGATGGCCCATGTCTGCAGGCGGTGGACCTCCAGGGTGGGCAGGAGTTCAGGGGAGAGAGACAGCACCCTGGGTCTGCGAGGGATGCTCAGGCCACCAGGCCCTCTTTTGCATCTCGAAGGCACGCGCCCCACCCTCCTGGCGCATGCCAGGGCCTTCGCTGGGCAGGAGTTGGGTGTCACAGCTCCCTGTGCATGGGAAGGGCCATGTCTGAGCGCACGGACCACGGAGGATCCCATGGCAGGACTGTGTGCTCCTGGAGTACAGAACCTGGTAACAAAGAACCGGGCCCTGCAAACCTTGCTTGGAAGGGCCTCTGATCCCACCTCCCTCCTTGTCCATCTGCAGAGCCGAAGGCGGTGTTTGCCAGGGAGCAGCCGGTATGCCGGGAGGTGCAGGCCGAGGCGGGGGCCAGCGCCACGCTGAGCTGCGAGGTGGCCCAGGCCCAGACGGAGGTGACGTGGTACAAGGACGGGAAGAAACTGAGTGCCAGCTCGAAAGTGCGCGTGGAGGCCACGGGCTGCACACGGAGGCTGGTGGTGCAGCAGGTGGGCCAGGTAGACGCTGGGGAGTACAGCTGCGAGGCTGGGGGCCAGAGGCTCTCCTTCCGCCTGCACGTGGCAGGTGAGTCCCTGGTGGCGTGGTCAGTGCCCGTCCAGGGGTGGAGTGTGTGCTGCGCTGGCCCTGGGCGCCCCTGCCCCTCTCCGCGTCCTCTGCTCCTGCCCTGCAGGGGATGGCTGTGCTCCGTGCTGTGAGGAAATCCAGCATTCAAAGGGAAAGTTCCAGCTTGCCCATTCAGTGTGATACTGGCTGTGGGTCTGTCATAAATAGCTCTTATTATTTTGAGATACGTTCCATCAGTACCGAGTTTATTGAGAGCTTTTAGCATGAAGGGTCGTTGAATCCTGTTGAAGAGCTTTTCTGCACATGTACCCCAGAACTTAAAGTATGATAATACTATAGAAAAAGAGAAAATCCCGCATTCCTGTGCATGCCCACAGAGCACTGTGCAGGCAGCCAGGATCTCTTGATGTTTCTTCAGAGGCCTGTCTTCTGCTCCTGGTTGAGACCTTGCATCTCCCTGTGGCTTTTGTCTTCCTTCTGCGGGGGCTGCAGTCCCCGCTGACCCTGGAGTCTCCGCTCCCACAGGGCCCCTGAGTGCGTCCTCACTGCCCCCAGCCTCAGCACGTGGGATGGCTTTCCTCCTCTGCAGCTTCTGCCTCTGGTGTAGAAGGAGCCAGGAAGGTGCTGGAAACTCACGCTGGGCTGGAGTTGCCTTAAGATGACCTGTGTGGGCCCCACCACGGCTTTAGAGTGAGCCCTGTTCTGGGCGGGTTTGTGGCAGCCCTGCCGCCTGCCCTTGAGGGCCACTGTGGTGCCCGCAGGTGCTCCGTGTGTCCCATGGAGGGGCTGGTCTTGGTTGTGGGGGGAGCATCCCTCTACCCTCTGTGGTCCCTGGACGGGGGATGGGACCCGCAGCAGGTCCCTATCCACAGAGGTCTCCCCAGACCCTCCTCCGTAGCTACCATGCTGCCGTGGCTGAGACCCTGTGTGCAGGGAGAGGTTCAAATAGCAAAACTGGTTGGTTTGTTTTTGGTAGTTTTTTGTCAGTTTTTGCTTTATGCTAACTTCTTTCAAGATTTGTCTCCTCCCGGCCTCCTATGTGGGAGCAACATATCTACTTCATCTTGGTGCCTGAGTTAAAATTTCCGTGTGGCATCTGATTGCACATAGAAAGTTGTGTTTGTTACGGTAGCATTAAGCTTTGGTGCCAACAGGTTTTCTTTTTAAGTTGAGACAGAGTCTCATTTTTAGTAGAGACAAGGGTTTCGCCATGTTGGCCAGGCTGGTCTTGAACTCTTGGCCTCAGGTGATCCACCTGCCTTGGCCTCCCACAGTGTTGGGATTACAGGCATGAGCCACTATGCCTGGCCCAACAATTTTTTAATAATGACATTTGGGGTGTAATTGATGCACAGATTTTAAGTTATCATTTGAGGGATTTTGGAAAATGTCGATACCATGCACCACCATGTCCACATCAAGGTACTGAGTGTCACACTGGAAAGTTCCCCCGTGCAGTCCACCCTCCACCCCGCCCAGACAGCTGCCGTCCTGATCCTCTCCCCGTAGGTCAGGTGTGCCTGGTCTCATAAGCAGGTTTTTGATGTACGAGTTCGCCTGTGTCCAGGGAAACCTCAGACAGGTACAGAGCAGCTTTCTCTGGCTTTAGTGCAAACCAGGGGAGAAGTGGCCACAGGATGGTCTGTTTGGGTCATGGTTTTGTGGGACAGAGGTTCCCACATACCCTGTGATTTTCAGTGTGAACCCAAGAGAGTGTCTGTGTTTGCTATTTCTCCAGGCTTTCTGGGTTCTCAGGCAGAGTTTCTGTGAGTGCCGAGGGCATGATATGGGCATTTCACACAGTACCAGCAGATTTTCCTTTGAAAGGGGCACTCTGCTGGGGTGGTGGTTTTTTCTAAGGTGTTATGGAATGCTTGGACTCCAGAGTATCAGCTGCATGTTGCTGATGGGCCTTGGGAAGTTATTCCCCATGCTGATGCTTTAAGCCTCCAATATGCATTCTCTCTTGCTCAAACCCATGTCCAACTGGTGATTGGTGAGGCCACTCTTTGTGGGCCACAGACAGCTTGTCATCAGTGGGCTCCAGCGTGAGCCCACTGCATCTGAAACTTCAGATTTTGTGTTCTGGCATCTCTGACTCTGTGCATCCTTCCTTGTCCATCCTCAGAGCCCAAGGCGGTGTTTGCAAAGGAGCAGCTGGCGCATCGGAAGCTGCAGGTGGAGGCGGGGGCCCGTGCCATGCTAAGCTGCGAGGTGGCCCAGGCCCAGACGGAGGTAACGTGGTACAAGGACAGGAAGAAACTGAGCGCCAGCTCGAAAGTGCGCGTGGAGGCTGCAGGCTGCACGCGGAGGCTGGTGATGCAGCAGGTGGGCCAGGCAGATGCCGGGGAGTACAGATGTGAGGCTGGGGGCCAGCAGCTCTCCTTCCATCTGGATGTAAAAGGTTAGTTGATTGGGCAGACATTTGAGCATCTCATGGGGGCAGGCCTGGGGGCAGTGTTTCAGCATAGGCTGGAATGGTGCTTGGTGGCCTCCTGAGGGCCTGTGTTAGCTACTGTGTCTGCTGCTAAGTAACAAATCACTCCAAACTAGAGGCCTGAAAGAATGATCTGTTTACCTCTCACCATTCTGCAGGTTGAGAATTTGGGCAGGGCTCAGCAAGGGTGGTTCATCTGTGCTTCACGTGGTGTTGGCTGTGGCTGGGGGATCTGACTGGCCTCATTGGTGCATCTGACTGAGGTCCAAGCTGGGATGGCTCCAGTGGATGGGGAATGGCCTGGATGATGGACCTCTCTCTTCTTGTGGTGTTGGCTGGCCTCACTTCCACACCTGCAACCTCATTCTTTCCTCTGTGGTTGGTCTCTTTTTGGGTTTTATTTATCATGGTGACTGGATCCTTCCCCTGGGGAATGATAGAAGCTATGAGTCTTGTTAGCTGTGTTCTCTGGACTCCCAGAATGTTACTTTTCCCATGTCCTATTACTCAAAGCTAAGCGCAAGGCCAGCCTAGTGTGCAGGAACTAGGGTGTAGAGAAGTAGACCCTACTGTCAGTAGGGGAGTGGCATGTCCTGTTGTAGAACACTGTGCACCCAGGGTGTCTTGACTCATCATGACCTTTTTAACAGTCTATCACAAGGACACAGGCTGTGTTTAATTCTCTGCCATCCTGAGCACATTACCTTTTTCTTTCAAATGCATGCCTCATGGTCATAGGGTGGCTTCCATAGCTCCAGCCATCACATTCAAGATGGGAAGATGTGGAAAGGGTGTGTATTAGTTTTTGTTTGTTTGTTTTCTGCTTGTTTATTTTTTTAAACTGCCATGTAACCAATTATCACCCACTTAGTGGCTTAAAACAATGCTGACTGAGTAGCTCATAGTTCTGTAAGTCAGAGGTGCAGGCACTGTGTGGCTGAGTTCTCTGTTCAAGATCTCAGAAGCTGAAGTCAGGTGCCTGCTAATTAGTTCTCTTGGTTCCTATTTCCAGCTTACCCAAGTTGTTGGCAGAATTCGGTTTCTTGCAATTGTGGGTCTGTGAGCCCATGGGGCTGAGGTGGCCATTAATCAGGGAGCTGCTGTCAGATGTGGCCTTGTCCGTCTTCAGGCCGGTAATGGAGAACCTCCTTTGTGTGAAGTTACTCTCAGACTTCAAATCTCTTTTGCCAGGGAAGAGGCCCCTCCCATTTATGGCCTCACCTGATTAGGTCTGGCCCACCCAAGATCACCTCCCTTTCAAGGAACTTAAAGTCAGGCTTCCTTCTCAGCAGCACCTAGATTTAGTGTTTGGGCACTCTTAGAATTCTGCCTCCCTCATTGTGGATGTCTCTGGCTGTCTCTTCTGTTTGGGAAACAAAAGCTTTTCTTGAAGCCTGGGGTACATCAAGCCCCATGCCTCCCCTCGCTTGGGGCCTTGCAGCCATGCTTAGCTCCAGGTAGCCTGGAGAACATGCCGTTGGCCTCAGCCTTGTCAGGAGGATGTGGAGGGGGAGGAGATGGGCTTGTGCAGGGACTGGCCCTGCAGTCCACACCCCACAGGCTGGGTTTGATCCCTTTCTGAGGCAGGCCGGTGGTGGGATCGGCCGTGTGTGGGGTCAGACTGCCGGAGTGTCTCGCTCTTGCCTGTCTGCTTAGTGACCTTGGGCGAGTTGTTGCTACTGTGTCGTCCCCAGATTCGTGTCCACCTGGCAGCTCAGAACGGGCCTCACTTGGAAACAGGGTGTTTACAGATGTAATTAAGTGAGATACCTCGTGATGAGGCTGTGGACTGAGGTGGGCCCCGAACCAGCGACTGTGTCAGACAGACCGGGACACACACACAGGAGGCGACCATGGGAGGCGGAAGCCAACACGGGGCTGATGCAGTCACAAGCCCAGAGAGGCTGAGAGCCCCAGGAACTGGGAGAGGCAGGGTGGGCCCCCCCTTAAAGCCTCCTGGGATCGCAGCCCTGCAAACCTTGATCTCAAACTTTTGGCCTCCAGAACTGTAAGAAGATGACTTTCCGTCATTCAGAGCCACCTAGTTTGTGGTGAGCTCTTCTGGCAGCCCCCAGAAACTCAAACAGTTGTCCTCTCTGTGCCTCAGTTTCCTTATCTGTAAAATGGGAGTAGTGATTGTGGCGTCTGGGGACTGTGCCCATGCCGGGCACTGTGAATTATAGCTGCAGGGACTGAGTTTTGGGGGCTAAGTAGGTCAGGGAAGGAGCCAGCTTGGTGGTGTAGACACTGGCCAGGCTTCGTGGCAGAGGGCTGTGGCGTGGGGCAGGAGGGGATGGAGGCGTGCCAGGCTGCCAGCAGAGTGGGCACCAGGGTCTCTGGAAAGGTCTCATCGGCAGCGGCTCATCCAGCCTGTTTCCCTGTCTGTAAAACGTGCATCCCGAGGTGCACCCGCTCTGAGGGGAGAAGGGATTGATGTGAGATGCTGCTCAGCAGGAAGTCATCGGTTCATCCCACCTGCCTGCTGCTGCTTTTATCCCTGGGGTGACATGCGACTCAGACCAGGGGCCAGCTCACACATCTGTGGGCTCTGTCACATACGTGCGCCGGGGGAGAAGCAATGTCTGCAGCGAGGGCCGGGGGTCCCGTGGGGCCGCGCAGAGGAATATGCTGACGCCCGGTAAGTGCCGTGGTCCGTGACAGCTGCTGGAGCAGAACACCATAGCCTGGGTGGCCCCGAAACCACGGAGGTGCAAAGCCTGCTGCTCGCTGCTCTGGAGGCCAGATGTCCAAGAGTGAGGCGTGGCGTCTGGTGAGGCAGCTTCCTGGTTCGGAGATGGTGCCTTCTCGCCGAGTCTTCACAGTGGAAGGGGTGAGGGAGCTTTTGGGGCCTCTTTTACGAGGCATTGATCTCATTCATGACCCAACCGCCTCCTAAAGCCTCTCCTCCTAACACCATGACCGTGGGGATAAGGATTTCAGAGTGGGAATTTTTGGGGCCACAGACATTCCAGCCATAGCAGTGAGAATGTGGGAGCTGGGTTGTGCATCGCTCTCAGGGTTTTACCCCAAAAGCAAGATTGGCAGTTCTAGCGCGTTCTCTGCATAAGTTAAGTGCTTGCTTTTTTTTTTTTTGAAATGGTTTCACTCTTGTTGCCCAGGCTGGAGTGCAGTGGTGTGATCTCGGCTCACTGCAACCTCTGCCTCCCAGGTTCAAGCGGTTCTCCTGTCTTAGCCTCCCGAAGTAGCTGGGATTACAGGCGCCCGCCACCTTGACCAGCTAATTTTTTTGTATTTTAGTTTAGACAGGGTTTCCCCATGTTGGCCAGGCTGTTCTTGAACTCCTGACCTCAGGTGATCCACCCACCTCAGCCTCCCAAAGTGCTGGCATTGCAGGCGTGAGCCACCGCGCCCGGCCCATAGGTGCTTTTGTTAAATTGACTTCTTAGCTTGTTGTATCATGCCTGCCTGCTGTTCTTGGAATGTCGTGTCCCCTCCACAATTCATGCTGAAACTCAGTCCCTGGAGCAAGTGTTAAGAGGGGGCTTCGGGGGCTGATTAGGCACCGAAGGCACCAGCTTCCTGAATGGATGAGTGCCTTTAGATTATAAAAGTTCACCACTTACATCCCGTCTGCCAGGTGAGACACAGCATTAAGGTGCTGTCTTGGAAGCAGAGAGCAGCCATCACCAGGCAGCTGAACCTGTCGGCACCTTTTCTTTTGTTTGGCTTTTTTGACAGGGTCCTGCTCTGTCACCCAGACTGGAGTGCAGTGGTGTGATCACGGCTCACTGCAGCCTCAGCCTCTTGGGCTCAAGTGATCCTCCCACCTCAGCCTCCCGAGTAGCTGGAACTGCAGGCATGTGCCACCCTATCTGGCTAATTTTCTCAATTTTTGGTTGGTAGAGATGGGGTCTTGCGATGTTGCCCAGGCTGATCTCCAGCTTCTGGGCTCAAGCAGTGCTCCCGCCTCAGTCTCTCATGTGCTGGGATTACAGGAATGAGCCACTGCACCTCACCTGATTGATTTTTTAAAGCACATAATTCACATAACATAAAATCCACTCTTTTATGAGGTACAATTTGGTGGTTTTTAGGTTGCACCCACACCATAGTCTAATTCCAGAACATTCTCATAAACCCTAAATGAAACTCTAGGCTGGGCGCAGTGGCTCACACCTGTAATCCCAACACTTTGGGAGGCTGAGGCTGGTGGTTCATGAGGTCAGGAGTTCAAGACTAGCCTGGCGAAGATGGCAAAACCCAGTCTCTACTAAAAATGCAAAAAAATTTAGCTGGGCACAGTGGCACACACCTGTTGTCCCAGATACTTGAGAGGCTGAGGCAGGAGAATCGCTTGAACCCGGGAAGTGGAGGTTGTGGCAAGCCAATATCGTGCCACTGTACTCCAGCCTGGGCAACAGAGCGAGTCTGTGTCTCCAAAAAAAAAAAAACACACACACACACAAAACCCATCAAAAAAAAAAGAGAGAGAAACTCTATGCCCCTTTGCAGTTCCTCCCCATTCCCCTTCCCCTCAGCACTCAGCAATCACTAACCTGCTTTCTGTAGCCCTGGATTTGCCTGTTCTGGACATTTCATTTAAGCAGAATCAGATAACACGTGGCCTTTCATGTCTGGCTTCTTTTCACTGGGCATGACGTTTTCAAGGCTCTTCATGTTGTAACATGTATCAGCACTTCCTTTTCATAGCTGAGTAATATTCCATTGTATGAACAGATCCCATTTTATTTATCTATGCATCAGTGGACAGGCATTTGAATAGCTCCCCCTCTGGCAACTGTACATAATGCTGCTATAAACATTTGTATGCAGGCTTTTGTGTGAACGTATGTTTTCAGTTCTCTTGAGTAGACACCTAAAGAGTAGGGGTGCCAGGTCATACGGTCATATTATTGACCTTAGCGAGGAACCGTCAGACTGTTTTCTAGAGTGGCTGCATATTTTACATTCTTCATCAGCAGTGTATGAAGGTTCCAGTTTCTCTA